TGAATATTTTAAATAGCTAATTGAGGCTCCCACAGGGCAGGTAGTCCCTGTGTGTCCTGAGAATGAGTTGTGTTTAGAAATCAAAGGGAAAGAGAAGAGGTAGTGGGCAGCTGCTCAAGGTCTTACAGGGGCAGCTCCTTAGAGGTCCCTTAGCCTCAGTGTCTTTGGTTCTGTAGCTCCAGAAGCCTCGTTTAGTCAGTCACTCCACTGGTCTAGGGAGGGTGTACAACTCACATTAATACAAGAGGGTCAGGCATGTGATCCAAGACATCCCCTTCCAGGCATTCAAACACTCGGCCAGCTCAGGGTGGACATCCAGAGGTTGCCTGATGAGCAAGGACTGCATTAGAACCAGGGGAGGCAGTTAGTTCTGAGGCACGTCCCATCCCGGCTTTGCTGAACTTTGCTCAGCCCCAACTCCTGAGCAGATAGTGCACACACAGCGCAGGGCATCTTTCTGAGAGAGCAACAGACCTGCACTGCCACACATAGTCTTTTGGGCTCCTTCCTTCCTGGAGTCCATTCTGACCTAGTGTGTCCCTTTGCTAAGGGAGGAGGTCACCATGGCATTGGGATTTGGCCTGTGCCTAAACTGTCTCACTCCCCTGCTGACAGATTATTGCTTCGTGTGGGTCTCTTAACAGATAGTTCATCTCCATTCGTTGCAGGTCCAGTTTTTCCTGAAATTTCCGGGGTGCTTTGCTGCCCTACTGCCAACATGTGCTTACTTAGTTAAAAACTGAGAACTTGAGCCAGCCCTGATGGCCTAGTGGCTAAAAAGTTCAGTGCTCTCACCGCTTTGGTGGCCCGGGTTTGGTTTCCAGTCATGGAACCATACCACCCATCTGTCAGTAGCCATGCTGTGGCAGCGGCTCACATAGAAGAACTAGAAGGACTTACAACTAGAATATACAACTATGCACTGCGGCTTTGGGGAGGGGGAAAAAAAACCATTTATTTTAAGAAAAAAACAACGGAGAACTTTGGTACAGCTCGACTAGGCTGCTGAGCTGGTGGGCAGCATGGCTACTGCTAGAACCTAGGACTTTTGGTTGGAGAGTAGGGGAGCCCCAGCCCCCTGCTGCTTACCAGCTAATTCACGTAACATCTCCACGTCTCAGTTCCTTGTTTGTAAAATAAAAGAGAGAACCTACAAAGGTTGTTTTGAAGCTCAAATGAGATGTGAGAGGACTTCAGAAACTTTAAGCCCCACAGCAGTGTCATAATGTATGCTATGTGGAATCATACATGTGGATCAGGTCCCTGAAACACACCTCCTGGATACAATACATACAGTTGTGTCCACCCGTGACACGAGCACGAACATGTCCCTTAACAGCAGTGGTAGAGTGAGTTCCTCTTTAACTTTGGGTCACTTTCTAGATAAACAACCCAGACATGCGAGTGCAGATCCTCAAAGATTACGTCAAACAGCACTTCCCTGCCACTCCGCTGCTCGACTATGCACTGGAAGTGGAGAAGATTACCACCTCGAAGGTAAAAACGAAAATAGCCCTAATTCCCAAATCACAGTTTTGGGTTAATTTCTTGGGGAAAATGAAAGCCAGGTTACATTTTGATTGTGCAGCTAAAATCAAACCTGGTTTTCTGGGAAATTTTATTTCTGTTGCATGACTAAGTTCAACAGACTTATATGAAGTATCAACTAGGTGTGTAAGACACAGTCTGTCCTAACCAACTGGGTTGTTTTGGTGGGAGGTTTTTAAATGGTGGTCGGAATTGGTGGTAATAGTAGTAGTAGTAATAGTGGAAAATTACAAGGGAAAAATGAGAACTAATGATAAATGCTTTGAATTTTTCCCCTTCCCAGAAGCCAAACCTTATCCTGAATGTAGATGGTTTCATCGGAGTCGCATTTGTAGACATGCTTCGAAACTGTGGGTCCTTCACTCGGTGAGCTTTGCAGCCCTTTCCTCCTTCATGTCATTGACTGACTGTTGCTTTCTCCCAACTCTGACAGCCCTGCATGCTCATTATAGAGGATTTAGGAAATATGGAGAGGTAGAAAGAAAACAAAAACTGCCTCTTACGTCCACCACCGAGAGCACCCTTTTCTCCTTTGAAACCAAAGAGAGCCAGCTTCTCATTCCTGGGCAGAAGTTGGACTGTCTGTGGGAAGGAGGGCGGTCACGTGAGCCATTTTAAAACTACAAGTCGATGGTGTGTTGCAGGGAGGAAGCTGATGAGTATATTGACATTGGAGCCCTCAACGGCATCTTTGTGCTGGGAAGGAGTATGGGCTTCATTGGTGAGTTGTTTTGTTGTTGTTGTTTTTTGGGGTTGTTTTACCCATGGTTCAGCTACACCACTTAACCATGTGGTTGAGTTTCTACAAGAGATGTCACATGGTCTTGATCACTGTTCCTAATCCTCCCTTCCTTACTGTAACTTCCCCCTTATTTTTATCTTTGTCCCTTTGTTCTTGGAAATGACTTCAATTGCTAGCCCAGGAAAACAAATTCAACAATTTCCTTTTACCAAGGCTGGCAGCTGCTTATGGAATGGATCTGGATTTACTTCCCCACTCCTTTGCATTAGAAAGAGTTCCCTTCTCGGGCCGGCCCGTGGCTTAGTGGTTAAGTGCGTGCGCTCCGCTGCTGGCGGCCCGGGTTCGGATCCCGGGCGTGCACCGACGCACCGCTTCTCTGGCCATGCTGAGGCTGCGTCCCACATACAGCAACTAGAAGGGTGTGCAGCTATGACATACAACTATCTACTGGGGCTTTGGGGGAAAAAATAAATAAATAAATAAATTTAAAAAAAAGAAAGAGTTCCCTTCTGGGGCCGGCCCGTGGTGTAGCGGTTAAGCCCGCATGTGTTCCGCTGCTGGCGGCCCGGGTTCGGATCCTGGGCATGCACCGACGCACCACTTGTCAGGTCATGCTGTGGCAGCGTCCCATATAAAGTGGAGGAAGATGGGCATGGATGTTAGCTCAGGGCAAATCTTCCTCACAAAAAAAAAAAGAGAGAGTTCCCTTCTTTATCCTCTCTCCTTCACCAAACTTTAATAAACTCACCAACTCTTAACAAAAAGATGCACTTGCTCCGTTTTAGGACACTATCTTGATCAGAAGAGGCTGAAGCAGGGGCTGTATCGTCACCCGTGGGATGATATTTCATATGTTCTTCCGGAACACATGAGCATGTAACTGAGCCAGGAATCCTCCTGCAGTAAAGTGAAGACAAGAACTCCTCCCCCTGGAAATAGCGCGCAGACAGCTGGCACTGGAGCTTGCTATAGGATGGGCCTGGATGTAAAGAGCCACCAGTGTACAGGCACTGAGGACCAACATCACAGGCTAACACTGTTCAGTCCACACAAAGAAGCTTCATGTTTTTTGTTTTTTTTTTTTAATAAGCATAGAAATAAAAACCAAGCCAATACTTGTGACATTTGCTCTGCTACCTGCTGTATTTATTATATGGAAGTATCTAAGCATGTAAGGATAGTGTTTTCCTCATTGTAGGGTGTTACGATGTTGCTTTCTTTTTTCCATTAGTTAAAAATTTTTTTTCCTTGGAGGAAGGGAATGAAATTTTAAGACCTCAAGATACTACACATTTAAAGCACGCCTAATGTCTTGTTTTTCCACTTCCCTCTTCCTCCTCATATAACATGAAGAGCATTGTATTAATCTGATTTTTTTTAGGATCTTTTTGTAAATGACATGTTAAGTGTTTGTTTGGTATCCCACTGAAACATTCCATGTTGCAGACCAAAGTCTGCTTATGTCAGGGGGATGGGACCATTGTATCCTTAGCCATTGTCACAAAATACGTGTAGTAGTAATTTAAAATGTAAAGCTGTAGTATACATATTTTAAAATGGAAACACAAAGCAAAAAGCTGTGAAATGTCTTGTGTTTTACGTTCTCTGTATTTATGCAACTGACTTGTCTGTCTGTTACTGAAATGTGGGTCCAAGGACTCTGCTCCAGCCAGTTTGCATTAGTAATCCACAAAGATTCTGGGCAGCTGCCACCTCAGTCTCTTCTCTATATTATCACAGTTTGGTTTAAATAAACTATATAGTAACAAGACATACTGTCCCATGTCATCCATATACTTTCATCTGCATTCCTTTGAACTGCGCTTTCTAATAGTTTTACTATATACAGTTTTTAAAATGTTCATCCTTGGGCCGGCCCTGTGGCTTGGTGGTTAAGTGCGCGCACTGCGATGCTGGTGGCCCGGGTTTGGATCCCGGGTGCGCATCGAGGCACCACTTCTCCGTTCATCCTGAGGCCGAGTCCCACGTGCAGCAACTAGAAGGACGTGCAGCTACGACATACAACTATCCACTGGGGCTTTGGGGGGAAAAAATAAAAAATAAATAAAAATCTTTAAAAAAAATAAATAAAACGTTCATCCACCTCTTCAAAAAAAAAAAATTAATCAAAACACTATCTTCAAAAAACCAAAAATGACACTATCTTCTCCCCTAACTCTGCACCTCCCCTTTCTCAGTGAATGAGAACCAAAGCCCTGCCCACCTGATATTCAGACCAAAGGCACAGGTGTCATCCTTTCCTCTACTTCTCCATCTGGTCGCCAAAGCCTTGATGATTTACCATGAATTCTCTGATCTATCCCCATCTGGTCTGCTGACTGTGCCCTCGTTCTACCTTGTCCCCTTACAGTCCATTCTCCACGCAGCCACCAGTGATACTTGTAAAAACAGATCCAATTGAGCCACTTCCTTGCTCAAAACCCAAAAGTGGCTTCAGTCATCTTTTTAACAAGTATATAGGGAACAGTAACTATGGACCAAGCTCTGTGCAAAATACTTAACAAGCATCATCTCATTTAATCCTCACAGCGATCTTCCAACGTAGAGAATATTCCCGTTTTTACAAGATAAATTAGTTCAGAGATAATAAGTAACTTGCTCACGCTCATCCACGTAGCTGGGGCTCGGTCTCAAGTGTTTGTTTCTTTTAAAAATTTTACTCCTAAGCCATTTTAAATCTTTAAATAAAGATTCTATGTTGCCATCCAAGACACTAACAATGGGTGATTGCCTAAGGTGGCTTTTGCTTTACAATAAGACCGCGAAGGGCATGCTACTCACTGAGGGGAAGGAAACAAGCCATCCTTCCACCGAGATGTGGCGGGAGGCCACCGGGGCACACAATCACAACTGGGGAGCAATACAACAGAGCCTTATCCAAGGTGGGCCGGCTGCGGCGGCGCGTGCGCAGACCCGGGGCCGCCCGGCTCCGCCCCGCGCCCACTATTTATTCCCAGAATCCCTCTGTGTCGCACCAGAACGGCCGGATCGTTCCGAGACTGCGGCGCTCGGGCGCGGCGGCGTCAAGATGGCGGCGGCGGCAGTGGCGGCGGCAGCGGCCGCGGCGGCGGCGGCATCTCTGCAGGTGCTGGAGATGGAGAGCATGGAGACGGCCGCTGCCGGGTCGGCGGGGCTGGCCGCCGAAGTCAGAGGCAGCGGCACGGTGGACTTCGGGCCGGGGCCCGGTTTATCTGCAATGGAGGCGAGCGGGGGCGACCCGGGCCCGGAGGCCGAGGATTTCGAGTGCAGTTCTCACTGCTCGGAGCTGTCGTGGAGGCAGAACGAGCAGCGGCGCCAGGGCCTCTTCTGCGACATTACCTTGTGCTTCGGCGGTGCCGGAGGCCGCGAGTTCCGGGCGCACCGCTCGGTGCTGGCCGCCGCCACCGAGTACTTCACGCCCCTGCTCTCGGGCCAGTTCTCCGAGTCCCGCTCGGGCCGGGTGGAGATGCGCAAGTGGAGCTCCGAGCCCGGACCCGAGCCCGACACGGTGGAAGCCGTTATCGAGTACATGTATACCGGGCGCATCCGCGTCAGCACGGGCAGTGTGCACGAGGTGCTGGAGTTGGCCGACAGGTAGGCGGGATGCGGGGACCGCGGCGCCAGGAGATGGATGGAGATGCAGATGCTCGCCGACCGAGGGCCGCGTCCAGGGAGGGCAGTGCCTAGGGGTGGGCTCGAGTGAGCCCTGAGGAAATGCATTCATTGGATGCTTACTGAGCGCCTGCTGTGTGCTGTGGGGCAGTCACTGCGCTGGGCCTTGAGGATGCAGCCGGCCAGTCCGGCGAAGACGCCCTGCTCTTAGGGAGCTCAGATTCCAGGTGGAGGGACAAAGGCAATGAAAAAGCAAGTCTGCCTGTAATAAGTGCTGTGTTGACATTAAAAAGAGAGGAAAGGATACTGATTGGGTAGAGAAAAGACGAATCTGAGGAGGTGACGTTTAAACCGACCTCTAAACGTCAAGGAAGAACTGGTCGTGCAAAGATGGAGAATGAACATTCTAGGCAGATAGCGCAGAGGCCCTCAGGCAGGATTCCGTTTGGAGGAAAGAAGAACTAAGAAAGAAATCCAGTAGGGCGAAGGGGAGGAGGGTGTGTGAAATGCGTTGGAATAAGGAGTTTGGATTTTACTGGGTGGTGGGAAGCTGGGTAAAGAAATTCTCTGATTATAATATTTTAAAAGATGATTCTGCTACTGTGGAAAATGATTGTAGGGGGCGGGAATGGATGCTCCCCAGACTGGTTAGGAGGCAGGTGAATGCCATTCATGGAGATGGGGAGGAGTCTATGTTGGCAGTATAATGTTACGGATATGTTATTTTAACAAATACCTATTGAGGAGTGTATGTACCTGTTACATACACTGGGTTCTAAGGAGCTGGGGATTCAGTAGTGAACAAAACAGACCAAAATCCCTTTCCTCATTGCATTTACATTGGTAAATGGACAGTAAATAAGTAAGGTAGATAGCATATTGGATGATTGTTATAGCTATGATGAAAAATAAAGCATGTTGGGGGCATATAGAAAGTGGTGGTGGAGAAGAGATGTTTTTTTAAATTGGATGGATAGAGAATGCCTTAGTAAGAAGACATTTTGCAAAGAACTGAAGGAGGCGAGGTAGAGTGTTTCAGTTAGGGACACTGGTGTAAAGGCCCTGAGATGGAGCTTGTCTGGATGTTAGAGAATAACAGGTATTCATTGTGGCTGGGTCAAAGGGATGCAGGGTGAGAGGAGAAGGAGAGGCTTGAGGGTGGTAATGGGGATGGATCCAGGCCTTCCTTAGGGCCTTCTAGGCCCTGAGGAAGGACTTGAGCTCTTAGTCTGAAAGGGATGGAAAGGTTTGGGGCAGAGGAATGATGCAGTCTGATTTGAAGAATTGTGCTGTGTTGGAAAAAGGATGGAGCAGCGCAGAAGGGGCTGCAGGGCAGAAGCAGAGAGACTAGTTTAGGAGGTTGTCACAGTGGTGCTGGAGGCTTGGACTGCAGAGGGAGCCATAAAGGTGATAAGAAGTGCTTCGTTTCTAGACATGTTTTGAAGGTAGAGGAGATGAATTTGCTGTTGGATTTGATGTGAGGTATAGGGAAAAGACTGCTAGTTTTTTGACCCAAGCAATTGGAGCAATGGAGTGGTTATTTATTTATTAAGATGTGGAAGACTGCAGGAAAGCAAGTTTGAGAGGAAGATCAGGAGCTTGGTTTTGGTCCAGGAGATGTCTGATTAGGCAGTTGGATATAAGAGCATTGGGAGCTGGAGATGGTAATTAAAGCCATGGGGCTTGATGAAGTTACTTAGGAAGAGAGGGTAGATAGAGAAGAGAAGGGGCAGGACTGAGCCCTGGGGTTCTCCAAAATGTTAAAGAGAAACTGGCAGAGGAGACTGATCCCATGGAAGCCTAGGAAGAAAGAGTGTCAGAGAGGGAGTAGCCAATCATGTCAACTCTGTCAGCCGTTAAGTGGTCATTGGATTTGGCGATAATAGAGGTCTTTGAGGGCATTGACAAGAACCATTTAAGTCTTGCTATAAAGAGCATCAGAAAAATGATACACATGGAGATATTTGGGGAGGAGTCAAGAGCGGTCTGTCTTTTTCCGCCCCCTGAGATAGGCTAGAGCATGTTTGCGTGCTGATGAAAGATGACTCGGTGGAAGAGAAGAAATTGGTGTTCCAGGAGCAGGGAAATTATTGCAGGAGCGAAGTCCTTGAAACCAAGCAGGGGATAGAATCCATCTATGTTAAAAATGGAAAGGGGCCGGCCTGGTGGTGTAGTGGTTAAGTTCTCGCGCTCCGCTTCGGTGGCCCAGGGTTCACAGGCCCGGATACCTGGCACAGACCTATGCACCACTTATCAAGCCATGCTGTGGCAGGCGTCCCACATATAAACTGGAGGAAGATGGGCACGAATGTTAGCTCAGGGTTAATCTTCCTCACCAAAAAAAGGGAAAAGTTGGGGCCAGCCCTGGTGGCTAGTGGTTACATTTGGTGCCCTCTGCTTCAGTGGCTCTGGTTCAGTTCCTGGGGCCAGACCTACACCACTCGTCAGTGGCCATGCTGTGGTGGCAGCTCACGTACAAAAAGAGGAAGATTGGCAACAGATGTTAGCTTAGGGTGACTCTTTCTCAGAAAAAAAAAAAAAAGGAAAAGTTGAACTGGGAAGGCAGAGTATAGGGTACAGCTGCAGGCAGATTGGGTGGTGGGAAGATGAAGTTTCTGCCTGGTTGCTTCTGTATTCTCAAAGCATGAGGCTAGGGCCAGCCCCATGGCTTAGCGGTTAGGTGCACGCACTCCGCTGCTGGCGGCCTGGGTTCGGATCCCAGGCGCACACTGACGCACCACTTCTCCGGCCATGCTGAGGCCGCATCCTACATACAGCGACTAGAAGGATGTGCAGCTGTATGACATACAACTATCTACTGGGGCTTTGGGGGAAAATAAATAAATAAATAAAATTATTAAAAAAAAAAAAAAGCATGAGGCTAGGTCATCCATTAGAGGGTGTTGTGGGGCAGGGCGGGCCTAGATCTGAGAGAGGGAGGTTTGTTAAATGAAACTGGGTGGAGAAGGGTCATTGCACTTACTCAGGCTATGTTGGCTTCTGTCATGTGAGCTTGAGATTCTTAGATTTGCCCCTGCTTTTTGGGGAGTTGAGGGTGAGGAGAGGAGAGAACACCCTAGGCAATTTACTTAAAACTCAAGCTGCTCTCTGTCTGTCAGCTGCCCAGCACTGTTAGGCACTGTTCTTAAGTGCCCTACAACCATCTCATCTAATCTTACCATCAACACTGAGGCAGGATCCCTCTCCCTACCACCACCACCCCTGCCATATACTCTGTCTGTTGATCATACCTCCCTTGCAGGGCGCTTTCAACGTAAGGAAATAATAGGAAGTGCCCGGCACGATGCCCATCACATGCAAATACCTACTATACGATAGCTGTTGTTTTCATAGAGCAGTGTTTCCAAACACTTGTCCAAGGAAATATGTGTCAGAATTACCTGGAGTGCCTGCCAAAAATAGGAGCGGGGGGGTGGGGGGCTGGCGGCACAGCCTGGGAATGACTGGCACTCAGACGGGTTTGAGAGCCACTAGAGCTCTTAGCACTCCGCCTTCTCTTTGTTTTCTTTCGAAGATGCTGTCTTCCCTGAAGAAGGTGAAGGGAGCCTATCTCATTCATGTTTATTTCATAGTTAGATAGTTACTAAGCACAACAAGCATAATAACGAATGGTTACTGAATTGGGAGAGGCCTGGACTGATGAAGCCATCCTTGTATTGTTGAAGGTTCTCAGTTCTGGGGACTTACTCTTTTTAAAGCTGTGGTCTCAAATTGGCCACCCTCGAGGCTGAATTCTGTCAGATTTATGGATTTGGCTGAAACTATTGTAATGTTTTATTTTGTTTTAATTTAACTTTAAGTGAATTTAGGTAGGCAGACAACTTCTAGTCAGCTACATGCCAAACCACCTTCTTTTCTTTTTTAACCTGGACTGTCCTGCACATGTGTTTTTTATTGTTGTTGTTTTATTTCCTGGCTTCTTCAGATCTTTGAGTTTGCCCTGCCACCCTGCTTTAATAAGAACCGAGCTTAGGCCAAAGCCTCCAATGACCACCTCTCACCAGCTGCCCAAGGAGAAAGCTCTGGTGAAGAGGAGGTTAAAACCTTTGACACAAAGCCCCACTGCTGTTCCTTCTGATGTTTGAGCCAACAGCGCCTCCCAGGAGCCACATTTCCTGTACCATGTAGTCGATGCTTAGTCAAGTCTCTGCACTGAGAACCTGCCTCATCAGAGAAGAGTCTGGCGACTGGCAAGGGATTAGGGCAGGACCGCCTGGACAAGTTTGGATTGGGATTTGCCTTTGCCAAGGGCAAATTAAAGTGAAAATAAAGTATGGGACTATTGTACTTTATTAAAGGATATGTTCCAGGAAACCTTACATAATTAAAAACTCCACTGTGTGTGTGTAAATCATATGTATTATGTATAATACATAATTATACATAAACTATATAAAATAAATAATTTAAAATATATATAAAGATGATTTTATATATGCTATTAACATACTTTTAATTTGAGGGGATTTGCTTTTTTCCAGAAGCTGTGCATAAAGTGAGATGAAACCATTTCAATTTGTATAATTCAGATGCTCTCAAAATGCAACCACATAAAATATGCTCATATGAAAATTAATCCTTTCTCTTTCTTCTGATTTTAGGTTCCTGTTAATTCGTTTAAAAGAATTTTGTGGAGAATTTCTCAAGAAAAAACTTCATCTGTCTAATTGTGTGGCCATTCATAGCTTAGCTCACATGTATACCCTGAGCCAGCTTGCTCTAAAAGCTGCTGATATGATACGGAGAAATTTCCACAAAGTAATTCAGGATGAGGAATTTTATACTTTACCTTTCCATCTCATTCGAGACTGGCTGTCAGACTTGGAAATTACGGTTGATTCTGAAGAGGTTCTCTTTGAAACAGTTTTGAAGTGGGTTCAGAGAAATGCTGAAGAGAGAGAGAGATACTTTGAAGAACTTTTTAAATTGCTCAGATTGTCCCAGATGAAACCTACTTACCTTACTCGGCATGTCAAACCAGAGAGGCTGGTGGCCAGTAATGAAGTTTGCGTCAAGTTAGTGGCCGATGCAGTGGAGAGGCATGCCCTGAGAGCTGAGAACATACAGTCTGGCACGTTCCAGCATCCTGCTTCTCACGTCTCATTATTACCTCGCTATGGGCAAAACATGGACGTGATCATGGTTATTGGAGGTGTGTCAGAAGGAGGGGACTATTTAAGTGAATGTGTGGGATACTTTGTCGATGAGGACAGATGGGTAAACCTGCCCCACATTCATAATCACCTTGATGGACATGCTGTTGCAGTAACAGAATCCTACGTGTATGTTGCTGGATCGATGGAACCAGGGTTTGCTAAAACTGTGGAAAAGTATAACCCAAATTTGAATACGTGGGAACATGTTTGTAGTCTGATGACAAGGAAGCATTCTTTTGGGCTAACAGAAGTCAAAGGGAAGCTCTACAGCATTGGAGGACATGGCAACTTTAGTCCTGGCTTTAAAGATGTGACTGTTTATAATCCCGAGCTTGATAAATGGCACAACTTGGAATCGGCACCAAAGATTCTTCGAGATGTCAAAGCACTAGCCATTGAAGACCGGTTTGTGTACATTGCTGCCCGCACCCCCGTGGACCGGGACACTGAAGATGGATTAAAGGCTGTCATTACTTGCTATGATACAGAGACTCGACAGTGGCAAGATGTGGAATCTTTGCCACTTATTGACAATTACTGCTTTTTCCAAATGTCTGTGGTCAATTCAAACTTTTATCAGACAGCCTCATGCTGTCCCAAGAGCTATTCTTTAGAAAATGAAGAAGCAGTAAGAAAAATTGCCAGCCAAGTTTCTGATGAGATCCTTGAAAGCTTACCTCCAGAGGTCCTAAGCATTGAAGGAGCAGCCATTTGCTATTACAAAGATGACGTTTTCATTATTGGAGGCTGGAAAAACAGTGATGATATTGACAAACAGTATCGGAAAGAAGCCTACCGATATTGTGCTGAGAGAAAGAGATGGATGCTTCTTCCTCCCATGCCACAGCCTCGTTGTAGAGCCACTGCTTGCCACGTGAGAATCCCGTACCGGTACTTGCATGGCACACAGAGATATCCTATGCCTCAAAACTTGATGTGGCAGAAGGACCGGATCAGACAGATGCAAGAAATACATCGGCACGCCCTAAACATGCGACGAGTGCCAAGCTCTCAGATCGAATGCTAGGTTCTCTAATACGCGCAGCTGAAAACAGTTATACCTGTTTCACGAGGGTGAAGATACCCAGACTGTTACTTGAAAAAGTATGTCGATAACTTATTTTCTACCTGAACTAATTATTGCCCCATATAAAGGAAATACTGTTAAAAACTGGAGAGTGGGAAACTCAATTCAATATGTGGTCATTTTTGTTACTTGCAGTCCTTTTCTCACTTTGGTTTGTGTGTGTGTGCTAGCTGAATAAGATCTTATTAAAGGCAAGTGGAAAAACCAGGTATAGTTACTTGGCTGTTTTTCTGCCAACAAGTTTTAACTCCTTTGACTTTAGGGACTTATGTGTTGAACATGCTTTAAGCACCAATTTTATTTGCACATTTACTTTGATATTCCTTTTCATTTTTTCCTGAATGGTTTTGACAAGATCAGAATTTATGCATTGAGCCCTCATCTGCAGGAGGTATGTGCAATAGTGAGACTGAAATTTGTAGGAAAAAGCACAATATTTCAGCAAGATTTTAGAATGTTTGCATTGATATTTTGTTGTATGTGTTTATTTAGAAATGCTATTTTGTTTATTTCTAAAAGAGATGACTGACAAGAAATTTGTGATTGGCTCATGCATTTTTAAATATTTTTCATTCTTTAGCAACTGTATTAGAGACTTCAAGCCATCACTCTGAGATGATGGTAGCTGGCAAAAGTATTGATCTTTAGCTGTTGATTGAATTCAGAGGAAGTTATGTATGTGAAATTTGTTTCTCTTAGAAGAAAAGTGTTATTAGTGTAGACTGAGAAATCAAAGGCATTAAAAAGTTTAAAAACACTTTTTTCAGGAGTTGCAAGTTTATTTGAGGATAAGTTAATGAGTGTAAATAATGCCTATGACAATCGACACTCAATGCCTTCAATTTTAAATTTTGCTCTAATGCATATTGTATAGAATCCTCATCATTCGTTTCTAAAAGAAACTTTTCAAGATGAAAAGGAAGTAACAATTTAGAGAAGTGTTGCTAAAGAGAAGCCTTATTATTTCTCAGCCCTGATTGTTAATAATGTTTTATCCAGTTGCCCTAGACTTTCATTGGAATTTTGCCTGAGCCTAGAATACCAAATTTGGGTGCATAATTATGGCTCTTAAAAATGTATTGCTGCAGTTACCGTTTATTTATTTTTATGCATTCTTCTGATTCTCTTCCACACTCCCAAGCTTTATACACATTAGCACTCGGGTTGACTCTTTCAGCACTCAGTTAACAGAACAGACTCCTGCTCTAACGGTTTGCAGTGTGGGTCCAGTATATTTTTCTTGTTTCTTTCGGAATGTCTCTATCTTCTTAGACATTCCAGAATATCATTCTAGAAGTTGAATTCCACATGCAGTGATTTTTTTTCCCTACTCCATTATAGTTAAGCTTCCTATTAGTTGTATTAAACATCAAAAGAAAAAAGCACAACCAGAAATTTTGGCTATCAATTTGCTGCAAGACTATTAATGTTTAGCCCTTGGATTCTATACTAAACTTTCCTGAAATTTCTAACTTAGTATTCCTGCCTGGGACAAAGTTTTTCAATAAAATGTATTGAAAATCTGCTTTAAAACCATATAATTTAGACTGAGATGGGGGTGGGAAACTGCAAGTCATATTTCTATATGAGGATATATTATCCTACCTTTTTCTCAATTTCCATTTGTTTGTAGTTATTTTAATAAAAGCCATTTGGATTCTGAGAAGTGTTCATTCCTAGTTGTGAGAGGTCTATGCAAGTAAGACAGAAGAGCTCACTGAATGAAGTTCTCATTTCTCTCGGATAGACTCTGCTAGCAAACTTCCTTTTCTTGGTGGTGGTGAGATAATTTAGTAGCTTGTTAGGATACCAGTTTCTCTCCAGAAGGGTGTGGTGTAAGGTTTTTTTTTGTTTTGTATCTCAGAGTTGTCTTCTGAGACAATCATTACCAATTTACTTGTAGGGTTGTCTTTTTTTCACATGATGTGGCAGAAATTACAACTCATAAGATTTAGGTATAATCTGGTTTTGAAAACTTGATTGAAACTGTTGTTTTTTAACTCAGCAGGCAGCCTAGGCCATGGCTGAAAAGAAGGGGTAAGTCCTTCCTTGCATGATGGTGTGTGCAGGTTTTCCTGACTACTGAATTTCTAATTTTCATATTTGAATTCACACGTGTGATTTCACATCAATAACTTGTGTTTCTGAAATATCCTAACTAACTTGTTAATAAAGAAAGAAACCAGATTTGCTTAAATCTGTTCAAGGCTGACATTCTGAAATTCTGAACTGGAAATAACTTCCCAGAGTATTTGGAAAGGTTCTGATTATGATCAGCCTAAAATGGCTCTTTGGGAAAGAAATTTCCTTTTTGATGAGAACTTAAAGATTGTGTTTGATAATTTAAGCAGTTAAAAATACAGCTTTAAAAAGACAGCTTAATGTGTATTCAAGCAAACCTTTTTTTGTTGCTTTTGTTTTTGTTTTGTGGAAGGAAAAGAGAGGAATTGGTAATACCAAAAAGTATAACTGTACATAACTTGGTGTGAGGCTGCTTATTTCTCAGAATAGATATCCTTTAACTATACCTACCCCAATATGGTTTAAAAAAAAAAATCAGTGGTCTCTATCGAGAATGTCAGTCATGAGCTCAGTGTTTAAGTAACGCGTCTCACTTGCAGTGTTTGCATGATTAGTCTTGTGTATCTTGATATCCAACTTTGCTTTTGCTGTGCCAATTCAAAAATATTTTGCTAAAAAAATCTCAGAATTCATTGATAACAATTTTGTTTTGATCACTTGGTTTTGTATAGTATACCTGGGACCAAAAAATGTAGAAATACTAACTTTTAAAATATAGAACAGAAGTTTGAAGCTGGAAAGATAGTGTTTATGGAAGATTTGTGTGCTTTTGTATTTTAAACTCTTCAGGCTGCTGGTAAGGCAGTTTCCAGGGCACACTTTTTTCCTCTCTGTGTTTCTTGACTTGTGTAGCATGTTGTTTGTTTAAATATTTCATTCTCCGCTTCATAATTCTAATATGAACACTATACTGTAGGTAGACAGGTAAGCTAAATTGTATATTTTAGTTACTTGGCTGAATCAAGCATAACTAACAGGACTTTTTTGTACTTCCTCAAATTAAGCTTAAATAAAAAGGGTATATTGGCCACCTTTCATGTCTTTTGAAAGTATACAGAATTGTGAAGCAAGTTCTCTGCCTACACTAGAAAAGTAGGGTGCTTATAGGTTGCCATTTAACTGTAGAATATTTGAGAAACAATTCAGTTTCATTTTTTAACTGTCAAACGTTTTGGCACAGTTCATCACTCTAGTTGGTGACTTTCTTGAGAATAGTCCATTTTTGTTTTTGTTATTGTGTTTATATTATAATGTGTTCTAGTCATTGTAATTCCAACAAAAGAGCTCATAGTTGAGTGATGTGATACAGTAACAATAACATGATACAGTAGTCATTTTGCTTCAAGGAAATTAACTAGATGGCCAAATAACTGCTCTTTCTTGATTACCTTTGTAGGGCTTTTATCTTACTCTATATGACCATTACTACGAATGTCTGATATTGAAGCACATACAATAGAGCACTTATTGTTAACTTAATCCTCCTGCATAATGCACTCGTGAAAAGTAGTGCTTGCTAGATGTTTGACGATCTTGTGATCCATGTGCTAGGGCTCATTGAGTTATCTGTAAAATAAATAATTGGTTCAAGCTGATACACAGGGAGTTCTTTGGGCTAGCAGTATCCCAGCCCCCACTCCACTGAAAGTGTAATCTTGACTCTCTCCTATTAAGTCAGAGGAGATGTAGAATTTAGGACACTTTGAGACATTACATTGTAAAATAGCTTGTTTTGTGTTCCTAAAGCTATCTTGTTCTGTGTTAAAGCTACTGCTCGTCTCAGTGTAAGTTTTAAATAAATGTATTTCTTTAGAGCTGGTTTGCACTGTGTGATTTTTCATTTTTATTTGCACTGTTGAATATAATTGCTTTCTTCCTTGTTTTTTACTCCCTCATTCATCCAGTCCTTGGCTCCCTTAAGTTGAACATTTTCCAGTACTCTTACAAGTTTAAACACTGCATTTATTTAAAAAAAGAATTAATTCTTATTGCTTAGACTTTTTATTAGCTAAATGAAGAGGCTCATACAGGTAGGGTGCTTGTCGAAGCAGAGTACTTTACTTCATCTCGCAGTGCTAATCCTGTGAAGTTGTCCCGTCTAGCTGCATATTCCCCAACATTGGCCAGCCCTGGTACCACACAGCAGCTCAGAGCACTGCGGTATATACTCATGTCGTGAGCATCATACCACTCGTCGGTCTTTTCGTCATAGCACTCCACGTTAAAGGTGGTGGTAAAGCCGTTAAAGCCACCCACCACAAATAGGAGGTCATCTACCACCTCGATGCCAAAATTGCTACGAGGATTAAACATAGTGGGGATCGTGCGCCAGGTATTAGCCACTGGGCTGTAGGCTTCTGCGCTCCTAAGTCGATTAGCTCCATCAAAGCCACCTACCTGTGGACAGCAAAGGAAACAGTTGGCTGTTAGCCTTGCTCCTGTTCACTGAGGAGGCCCTCTTTGGGGGGGACCAGTGATTTCATACCTCCCTCTTCCACTATCTTCCATGGGGAAAAAAACTGTTCAAATGCTCCCCAATGGTAGGGTAAATCCGTTTGCTCCTGGAACATTTAAGGATATCGTTTTTGTGGTAGTACAAGATAAACTCACCGCATATACGTGTTCTCCATAAGCAATTACGCCTATTCCGCTCCTCCTGCTCCTCATGGGTGCTATGACTGTCCACTGATTACTCTCAGTGTTGTACACTTCTGCTGTAAACAGGCATTCGTTTCCGTTAAACCCACCACATATGTAGACCTGTGTGAAGAGAGTTCCAGGATTATTAAAATTGTTACTTCTGTGGAGTAGAAGGGGTGTATATATAGTGGTGGGGGTGGGGACACTTCTGATGCCAGTCTGTACAATCCGAGTTTCTTTCTTCCACGTTGCATGCATTGCTTTTTAATAAGTAAAATAAAAAAAGATAGTTACAAAGGGCCACTTAGTCATTTGAGGAAGGAGTTAGTACTGCAAAGTGAGTACTGCCACTTCTGTTTTCCATCCACCCCCAAAAACGAAGAAGAGCCTTGTTTCTGGGTGTATGTGCTTCTCCTTCCTCCATTCCCCGTTCTTACCTTTCCATAGAGTGTAGTGGCACTGGCATCGCTCCTCTGTTCATGCATGGGGGCAATGAGCGTCCATTGATTGGTCTCTGGCTCATAACGTTCAGCAGTGTTGAGACGCACATAGCCATCAAATCCTCCCATGGCATAAATAAAATTGCTGAGGACTGTCACACTGACATAGCAACGTCTGGAGTGCATCGGGGCCACCTGATGCCAAGTTTTCTTGACTGGGTCAAAACGCTTAACGCTATTGAAATAGTCTACGCTATCGAACCCCCCAATGATATAAACGTAGCCTTTCAAATAGGCTGCCCCGTGGTAGGCACGGGGACTCTCTTCCTCACAAGTGACATTCACCCATCTGTCTGCCCGAGCATCATATGCCTCAATGGCATTGGTGGGGCTCCCACCACTCCAGCCACCAATTGCAAATAGGATGGCATAGGGCAGGCGGGGCCTGGTGAGTGGGTTGGTGAAGTCAGAATTAGAGGGTCCGTTCATGTTTAGGTCATACATGGCCTTTAGGGCGTTAATGATGACTGGCTTGCATTCCTCACTGTCTTTGACATAGTCGTTCATCTTAACATTGTTCATGAAGTACTCAGCATGCATTAGGGCCAGGCGAACCTAAGAAGGAAATAAAGTCATTCAGATGAGGTGAGGGTGCCTGGAAAATCTGTATCCTTAACCCCCTGTTTTATAGTCTGCCTTTGGATTATGTTTTGTTTTTGAAATTTAAAACAGTTTAAATATTTGTTTTTTGGAGGTGGTATACATTTGGAGGCTGAGAATGAGCTAGATAGAAGGCACCTTGAATGGTCACAGAGCTAGCCTATTCCTTGGCCACTGGATGTACTATTAGACCAGAAAAAGCTGCAGTAATTGTTCAGTAATTGAATATCTATGTCTCTATATGTAAAATAACACAAATTGGCACCAGATGGCTAAAGTTAAGTGCAATACTCATGGTTTGGTTTCTAGTCCAACTTTTATCTTGGGTTTGGGGAAACTCACAGAATGGAAAATGTGAAAAGAAAACCCTTTAGAATTGTTTTGAAGACCTTGCCCTTTCATCCCACTACAAGGGAGAGTTTTGGTCAAAGACTATAACTGGGTTAGAAGGAACTAGCAATGCCAAGGGCAAAGAAAATTGCAAAATTCCAGAGAATAGTAGGAGATGCCTTCTATGTAAGTATGTGTAAATACAGCCCTAAAATCTGTCA